CTCCTTTACATCTGCCTTGAAGTTTCACTGTGTTTTCCTAAGCCACCACACTTGCAGCGGGGCAGCAGTGATGCTGGTAAGGAGCAGAGCAAATCCTTAGGGCATGTTGTGGGGTTTAGAGCCTCAATTCACCTTGGGTATAAATGCAGTGTTTCTTGTATCTGTCCTGCTCTTGCCTCTGCCCTAAAGTTTCCATGTGGAAGCTTGTATTGTTTCTCAGTGTATAAACTTGGAGTACCTTAAGTGCAAAACATACAGGAAATCCTTAAACTATATCCCAGTTTTCAGCTTTTTATCCCAGCAATAATGGGAATGTCTCATTAATAAGGAGGTTTGATGTGTTATGTCACCCATCAGCCATCTGAGTAACCTGCTCATCTTTTCTCCTCTAGGGACACTGGCAGCTGCTTACAGGTGTTAACCTGGGGCACAGCTCCAGCAGCTGGTACTTAGATAGGCCAGAGAAAAATTACATCCCACAATAACCACGTGGCCACAAACCATTGTGCTGAGCATCATTATAACTTCTTACACATGTTGTTCCAATTTTAAATTAGAGAAAACTTTGACACAGAGTTAATCAGAAACAATTTCACATGTGTGCAAGTCCAGAAGATTTAAGGGTTAAAAGCAGATATTGAGCTTTCTGATAATATCATGTATGAATGTCCTTACTTAGGAATAACCACTCGTGCTTTTTCTCAAATTTTCATTGATTAATTAAATAGGAAAAGAAAATCCCTTAACTCCACATGTCGGAAGTTTAGGATTTAGAACTCTTTGCCAGGGGCATAAGCTTCAGAGGAGAGATGCAACTGCACAAGAGCACATAACAATACATAGCAAATCAAGCCACAAGTGAACCCAGCTATTCTACACAGATGATAGGAGCAGGAGAGTGTAAGCAGAAAGTACGACTTGCCAAACTGGAGGCTGGCAAGACATAAAGGTAAATTCACCTCCTGTCTAGAAAGTGCTACAGAGGTTTCTTGTCTGGAAGCAGTTTAGACCTCTGTGCCATCCGGCAGTGGCAGAAGGGTGCCAGCAGGATGGAGGCTGTAGCAGCACTCCAGGAACAACCCAGTGAGCCATCAACAAGCTTCCAGGTGTCTCACTATTGCTTTCCTGAGTCTCATCCTGATAATCAGTTGAGCAGAAGTCAGCTGAAGCCATGATCTGAGGAGGTATATTTCTGCTGGGAAGAAAAACCTCTGAGAAGATAAATGTCTATCTAAGCTAACCCCAGAAGGGGAAACAACCCATCTGACATCCCACCTTTTGATCATTTCAGGGCCACAAGTGCTCTACCACAGCATCCCCCCACCTACTTTTTCTCCTGGGAATCTTGCCTAGTTTTGCAGAAGACTGTACTCCCCTGCAGTGGGTCTGTTTGTCCATTCATTCATCTGAGCTGCTTTGCATTCAAACTCCCCAGATACGGGTGCTATAGAAAATAAGGTATGAACCTCTAGAACTGGCTAAAAGTAAAGAAGGATTTTCCATGAAAGAAAATGACGACTTAGAGTACGTTTGTTGCTGCAGAAATGTATGGTGCTCTCTTAAGAACATGTTCCACAGTATTGTACTGGTAAAGGAGGTAAAAATATGCCAAACTTGCCCATAAAACAAACAACAAAAAAATCTCAAACTCTTGCTCAGTACCTGATTTCCAATTTGTGCCCCCTATGTGGCAAGAAATAAATGTACATACATCAATTGCATCTGAAAAAGTCAAACAGTGGTAGTCTGAATTATAACTTGAATGCATATTGGTGGGATGAGATGCTGATCCATTTGCACAGTAATGTGCTATATTTAAGTCACGCATCGTGGCATCTTCAAAGAGGCCAGTCATAATTATGATGGATTAGACTGCAGAGTCAGTCCTAGATGCAGTAATTGTTTCACAGATGCTGCTGATGTGACTTGAATTTCTAATGGATTATAGCTGAAAAAAATATGTGGAGCTTCCAAATGGTCTGGATAAAATACAGTTATGGGAAAGAGAAAAAAGACTAACTGCTACATTTAGGGAAAGGTAGATTTACTTTGAGAGGCAGAGAGTTCACCCCACAATAATTATCAGGAAGACTACAAAGACTTTTTAAGGAGCAGCCAGGTCTACTTAGTAGTAAGCTGTAAGAATATCTTCATGGTGTCCCTGTTAAAACCAGTAATAAAGGTATCATTGCCATTTATCTTTTTCCAGTTCTACATTACAAATTATTGCTGTGATTTGTAGCTGCTTTAGGAAGATTTGTACTCAGGTGTCACATAAGGATAGTGATACTTCAGTGTAGAGAGAGAGAGAAAGAAGTGTAATGCAAAGTTACCCTAATCCTAGATGCATTTCAAAGAATGCTAACCTGGCACTTTTAATGGAAGAATGGACATTGTATTTTAACCAAATTATTCTCATGGTCTTAGCAATACCTAATGCTAGTGCCTTTTACAGGAGATGGTCAGAATTTGGAGGAACTGGTTGACTCATACCATGAAGTCTTTGAGAATACTGTGAATAATAGTCCATGTCACACACTGAAGGATAACCTTGTGGGTTTTGAGGACAGCATGAACCTAAGACACTTTTCTGGACCACAGATGTGCTCCTTTGAGGATTTGCAAGCTAAGTTTAGAGAAGTTGGGGAGCCCCCACTTCTAAACAGAAAGGTATTTTTCCCTATCAGTAAGGAGTTGAAAAGAAAGATTGCCTGGGAATTATCAGAAGGAATTTAGTTGCAACCCACAGGATACACCAGAACACAAGCAGTAGGGCAGACTTTGAGGGCCAGAGAAAGTTTGTCATGGCTCACTCGCACAGACTAAAACTTTTTAAAAGGAACTAAATCTTGTAGAAGCAGCTTGACAGCACAGTGTTAATTACTATGGTGCCCTTTATTTCATTTCATACTTGCAAAATACAGCAGCCCACACACTCGTGTCTGAGTTGCGGTTCACCTGCAATTTTTAGGTATGAAAGGTGTGAAGGCAAAGAATGGCTTCCAAATTAGGCTGACATTTTATTTTTGAGACACTCTGGGAGCATCATTCTGTTGCCTGGCCTAGAATGACACATCAGAGGAATCCTTTTCACGCTGCTTTCTGCTAAACACAGAACATCGTCTCCCTGGGAAAGCTCCAAAGGCTCATGTCTTGTGGTACTATAAAGCTAGGATGGGAAATATACTGAAATATATCTAGAAGGGAAGAAGCCTTCCTTACTTTGTCAAAAAAATAGGCCAAGTTGACAAACATTCTTTTCCATCTCCCTGTTCTTAGCTTTCCCTGCAAAAACTCTATTTTAGAGTACTTTTACTTGCAGAGAGAACTTCTCTATTTCTATCTTACAAAACATAAATTGAGTAAAGGAAGAAAACAAAAAAACCTTCAGGAGGTCAAAAGTAAATCGAAAAGCAAGTTTGGGATATGGAGGAAGGGAATACAGGTCATTGTATAGGTGCTTGCCAGTCAAAATGCACATTTGAATTATCCTGCTACTGAAATCAGAGCTGCAAGCAGAGGAGAGTCTGCTGGATGAAATGAATTTCATTAATTACTATTACTTTTAAAAGCATTTTAAAATCATATTACTCAACTGACTAAAGCAATATTGCACTGAAAACTGTATAAATTACATTTAAATAACATTTAAAATTACATTTTAATAACATAAAAATATTAATGTAGGATAAATACATAAGCAGAGCAGCCATGATGGGAGATTTTTTCAGTTTAGTAGCTCTTCCTACGTAGTGGCAATACCAGGCACATGTAGTGTTTCTCCTGACTTGACAGTCCAACCAGGGACGTGGTAATGGAGGACCATTCAGATTCTCCTTTATGCAAACTAAAAATAAAAGCTTCAGAACAAAGCCATGTACATGTCCAAATTTTTTCTGTGCAACCTCACATCTGTAAGACCCACTGTTAGTCTGTCTTCTGTCATTTGTGACTGGTTGAGAGTCAGAAAGCCAACAATGAATTAATTACAAGCAGAGTCAAACAAGGGCTTTATGTGTGTTAACTGAGACTGTGAATCCTGGGAAGATCCATGTGAACAGGATTAGCTTGTCATTATATGGAATTTGTTGACTGCACATTGTCAGTACTTCTATCCAGCTAAAACCTTCACTTTGTAAATAAAATATAAAGAGTATATGAGAAAATGGGATTTCCCATCCAAACAAAGAAGAAAGAAATGCTAGCTTCACAGCTGTTCAAAACCCAAATGCATAGTTTAAGCCATGCATGATGTCTATATGTAAATGTTAAAGGATATTAATGCCTGAAAAAATACCACTTCCACCAAACCTTTCAGAAATCACTCAGCTTGTTTCTGCCAACTCTACCAAGGTGCTGATGAACTGTAAGAGTTCCTATGGACAGCAGTCAAGCATGGCTTTTTCTAATGTGTACTGTGCCACTTGCATGCTCTTTAGGAATGCCAGTTTTAAAAGACCCTGTCAAACAGCTGAGGACATTAAAAAAAGGACATTATCACCTCTAACTGACAAACTTGGAGGCAATAATCCTTCAAGTCAGACAAAAGAGGTTTGGCACACTTAATCAAACGAAGGGATTAGCACCAAGTCTGGGAACCATGGTTTCAGCATGAGTTTCTGCCTTACCAAGGGCAAAATGTGATGACAGACAAGTCTGTGCAAATCATTCAAAAGCAGAGAATATTTTTTGCACCATTATGAGATATTTTTTCTGGTAAAATGTCTGCTTGCGTGTTAAATGGGGGTAAGGAAGCCTCTCTGTATTTTCACTCTTCATCTTCAAGAATAAGCCTTTAAGAAAAAGGGAGACATGGGGCTGCAAAATGCCCAAAATAGGATAGTGAAACACTCCTCAGGTGAGCCTGCAAGCTCACGTTGTGTATGGGAGCTGGTCAGGGCATCGGGTGCTTGAATGCTGCAGGAATTGTTGGTAACTGGCTGTCCATCAGTGGAAACTAAAATTGATTTGGATTCTCTCCCGTTTCTTTTCTCCCTTAGATACATTTGGAGGGTAGCCTTGTGGATGGCCCCGGAGCAGGCCAGATGGAACAGGACAGAACCAACCATGTTGACGGCAATAGATTGAGTCCATTTCTAATACCGCAGCCTTCTCACGTGTGCCAGCCAGAGCCTTCTGCAGTGAAGCTACAGAATGGAAGTCCAGCAGCAGAGAGGCCTGGAGTCGAAGTAAACGGAGACCACAAGCCGCTATTCATTAAAAGCAACTACGGAGTGCCCCACCCAAAGGGAAGTCCAAACAACCGCGTGAGCCCCGACCTTTTACAAGACAAGAAAGTATATTCCAAATATATGCAAAATGGTGGGATAAAACGCACTTTTAGTGAGCCCTCTCTGTATGGACTTCACGAGAGCAAAAAAGTGAAACAAGACAAGGAGGTAAACGGAGAAAAAGCTGAGCCAGAGGATAATAGTGAAAAACCAAGCATCTCCAATTCTTACAGTGAGAAGAAACCTGAGAGTTTTACAAGACAAGAAAATGAAGCTTCAGATTTGATACCGTCTACAGGATATAACGGTGGTGGTTCAGAAAACCCTCATGACCTCCTGATTCAGGATGAGCAGGAAAACATTCATTGCCACAACAGGGACATTGTCTTACTACTTAAGAACAAGGCAGTGCCAATGCCTAATGGTGCTACAGTTTCTGCCTCTTCCATGGAAAGCATGCATGGTGAACTCCTGGAGAAAACACTGTCTCAATATTATCCAGAACATGTTTCCATAGCAATGCAGAAGAACACATCTCATATCAATGCCATTACCAGTCAGGCTACTAATGAGTTGTCCTATGAGACAACGCATTCATCCCATACCTCAGGGCAGATCACTTCCCCACAGACCTCAAACTCTGAGCTGCCTCAAGTGCCAGCTGTAGTGGTTACTGAGGTCTACAACACAGAAGACTCCAGTAAACCACCTGTATTGCCAGGAAGCTGTTTGCTTCAGAAACCAGAACTACAGCTACAGCAACAGATTCCAGACTATGATCCACACCAGTTACCCATAGGAAGCAGTAATGTTCATGGAAGCATAGGGCAGGTTCCCAACCAAGACCTCTCTTTAAGTTCCAGCAGTAACCTGCAAACTCAGAGCACTGCTCTGGAAAGGTACTCTGAGCAAGCAGAAAATAATGGTGCTTTCTTTACACAGAACTCAACCTTTCACAAAGATTCCTCCACTCCTCCTGCTCCAGAAATGAACAGTGCACTGTCTGCCGTGGTGCAAGAAGGACACCATTCCTATGACAGCAGATGTGAAACTCTTCCTGGGAAGATAAAGAATGAAGGACAACAGGAGGGACCAATGTCAGAAAGTCCCAGCCTCAGCCAACAACAACTTCACCCTCAGCAGAGACTTCTGCAGCAGGCACAAACGTCACAACAAGGTGTCAGTGAAAGCAACCCACAAGCTGCTGTGGCCGCCTCAATTCAGCAGCGCCCTGAAGAAGTGACGCTGGCGTCAGAACCTCCCCTCCAAAACCTGCACGCGCGCGGAAGCGAGGGTGAGTTGCAACAACACTATCAGCATTTCCCAGGACAGAGAGAACCTGAGACTCCTCCCGACAAAGAAAAGGACCAAGTGAAAGAGCCTGTCCAACAGGCTCAACATTATTCAAAACCAGCCTGGATAGAACTGGTTTCCACGCAGTTCCGCCAGAGAGAGCCTCCCCAAAAGCCTAGCGAAGCATTACTGCGATCAGTTCTTCAGTGCCAGCCAAACACAGCCCAAACAGTCTACACAAAACAGTATGCTGGAAGTCCTGATTCATTAAAGGGGCCTTCAGGACAGCCCCGGAGCCAGAAGATAATGCAACAGGAACAACTTCCTTCGCTGTACAAAAGTGAGAGCTCCCAGCTGCAGCCGCATCCCCCAGCTGACCAGCAGCTGCCCTTCCAGAAACACTCACCACAGCCACAGCTCACAAAGGTGGATTCCCTACTCAAGTCCCAAGTGCAGCAACACCCTCCACAGCAGCTCCATTTCCAGGAAAGACCAGAAAAACCACAAGCCGAACAGCCTTTAGGAGCCCCCTTGAAACAGCAGCACTTGAATCCCCAGCCAGGGGAAAATGGACAGTTCTTGCATTCACACATTTTGCAACAGATGCTTCAAAAACAGACACATCGGGTGCAATTGCCATGCAGTCCACAGGTAACCTCAAACCATCAGCAGTCTCTGCAAATGAAAAATAAAGACCTGTCCCGAACTGTATCCCACTCCCAAACCAATGCTGAGCAGCTTCTAGACAGGACATCCTTCAATCAGCTTAAAGTAGAGGAATGTTTCCAAGCTGGGAATAAGTACATGAAATCAAATGCATTCCCACTGCCTCACCCTCAGCTAGGCCTAGAGCAGGTGCGAACCATGAACAACAAAGCTCCCCTGTACACTCAGAAGGCAAAGGCTAGTCTCCAGCACCCATGCCCAAACAACATGCACTTGGTTTCCGAGAAGAAAGGAAGCGCCGCCAATATAGAACGCTTTGGAGCCAACAAAATGCAGGACTTGCAACATGTTCAGTATTTTTCAAATGACTTGACTACAAAGCAAGATGTGAATCACTGTTTTCAAGAACAAGAGCAACAGACACAACAAGCCTCAGTTTTACAGCTACCGCCACTCCAGCCATCACAATGCTATGGTGCTAGTCTGAACCAAGACCTTTCGAGCAAACAAGCTCCACAGATTCCTCAGCAGTACTTACCACACAGCCAAACTGCCCCACACTCCCAAGATCAGAGAGGCTGTCATTTGCAGTCCCAGACCCCTAAGGATTTTCAAAAGCATGCTGCTCTAAGGTGGCACCTCTTGCAAAAACAGGAGCAGCAAGCATACCAGCAGCCCAAAACCGAGATTGGTCCCAGTGCAGCACACAAGCCTATCAAAACTGAGGCTGGCACAAAGTCTAATGTCTGCATGCGCCCATCAGCTGGACAGCTGGAAAACAAAATGTGGAAAAAAACAATTAAACAAGAGAATCAGCACTTTGGCTACGAGAACATGCAACAAAAGAGCATCATCGAGACAATGGAACAGCAGCTAAAACAGATACAGGTCAAATCACTGTTTGATCATAAGACTTTTACTCTCAAATCACCCAAACATGTGAAGGTTGAAACAGCAGGCCCTATTACCATTCTGTCAAGAAATACCAGTGCTGCAGATTTTGACACTCAGACTCCAATCTTAGATCAGCAAGCAAACTTGTCTGCTGAGAAAACCCCGACCAAAAGAACAGCTGGAACTGTTCTCAATAATTTTTTAGACTCACCTTCCAAGTTATTGGATACTCCTGTAAAAAATTTATTGGACACACCTGCCAAAACCCAGTATGATTTCCCATCTTGCAGCTGTGTTGGTAAGTGCTGAGATGTACTAAAAACGTACTAGTTCACAGGAAGGAAATGAACCTTCAGGTTGGGATCATGGGGTTAGTTGGATGTTTTTGTTGCAAGATTTTTTTGGGTGGTTTTTTTTAGAACAGTAATTAGTGAAGACTTACAAAAGACTTACAAAACTAGAATTTTACACACTTATGCTTACCAACCCTACGCGTGGGCCCTTTCTCATTTCATAAAGCAAATACCTATTTGATTTTTCAGTCAGAATGCTTATGGCCTCACATCCATTCTTCTTGAACAGTAGACACATAATAACAACATACTGATAAAAAGTAGGTCATAACTTTATAACCTAATTTATTTGTCAAGGTTAGAGATAGCATTTATAAACATATCCTGGGTCCAAAAGTTGAGATCCTTATGCCATTTTTTGCTCTAATAGTGAAATTGCTGAAGTTTCCCTCAGTAAAGCCTAAGCAAAAAAACAGATGTCGGATTATTCCTCACTTGTTGCAAGAGTTTATCCTCCCTTTCATGCGCTTGTCTCCTGTAAGGCTAAAGAGATCAGCAGTTCTTAGAGAAGCTACACAAGCAGCACCAAAAAAAGCAGTGAGGGGGACCCTCAGTGTTTCTTCATAGGCATACCCAGTTTCCAAAAGCTGGAAAAATAAAGCAGAGGGAAGCAAAGTAGAGTGATAGGCATGGCCCCATAGCCTGAGCTTCCATACAGTACTGACACTGCACACAGCCAGGTCTAACAGACACTTTCAGACTCTAGTGGATAAACTATTCAGGCTGAGACAAAAGGTTCAGCAACAAAAAGGGGCGGGGGGGAAAGGAAATCAAAATCCTTGTTATAGTTTCAGTTACTCGGATTTTGTACCAACTATAAAAGAGGAAAGTTGAATCAATGCTCCTCCAGAATTGCAAAATGGACCTTGCTTGGGGCTATATCTCAAGAGATGATCCATGGGAACAAAAACAGGAGATAGTGTATTTCCAAAGCTACTAGGAAGAAAACTGGAAGCCAGTTCCTTGCTGTTCCTTGTTCTTTTATAAGAAACAACCTCTAAAATTTAGGTTTTTTGAAAACACAGTTGTTTGTTGGTTTGGGTTTTTTATATATAGTTTCTCCCATATAGTTGGCATAAGTTTTCTGGGAATCATTTCCATTGCTCTTTCCTATCAATACTTGCCCTTAGGAAGATTAAATTAAGCCATCCCCCCACTGACATGTTCAAGTGTATCGCATGCCTTTGTCGTGCTTCCCGAGGCTGTATATCAAGAGCAGCACCACCTCGTCCAGCTCTTGGAGTTAGCATGGCAGAAAACATAAAGGCAACATTCAGACATCGGGCAGCACAGCTCCACCATCTCCTGATCCCAAGCAGAGCCTGGCCATTTCTTTCTCACTGCTGGAGCCTGCCTCCTGGTATCAAACCAAACATGTAGCATGTATTGTGACTGATGGCATGGTCCTACCTACATACAGAAAACTGAGGCCACATTCTTAGCATACAAGCATTTTGACCAAGCCTTGTGCAGGATTTCTTTCAGCAAACTTTGTTTTTTTTCATTTCACAGTCTTTCTGTGGGTGTCAGGAATTCACTATGTAACCTTACTGGCCACTTTCTCAAGCTGTAGGTTCCTACACTGCAACGTCTGCTGAAAAACAAGTACTGTACAGCTCAGTAACGTCAATATTTACCATTGGTATCCCATTTATCCTCCTTTTTAGATACTGGGAGAGGAGGAAGTGGGAGAAGGAGAAACAATTGTTTGTTGATAACAGGAAAATGCCTTTTGAATTTCAGTGTAGAGCCTGAGACATGAAACGACTGTTTGTGCTGGCAAAGGGCACACGGTCCCTATCACGGCTATTTGCACGATTAGCCACGTGCTTTGCATGTCTTGTACAAATTGCATGGGCATACTTTAGACCTCAGTGTTTGAAAACTCTGACCCCAGACCCATACAGCAGTATTCCAACAAGCTAGATGTAAGCTTTGCAATGTGACATTTTACATTAAAGAATTAAGCTTCAAAGTAATAACCCTTTATTTTGTTTTAAACAGAGCAAATTATTGAAAAAGATGAAGGTCCTTTCTATACCCATCTAGGAGCCGGTCCTAATGTGGCAGCTATTAGAGAAATCATGGAAGAAAGGTAATTAGTGCAAAGGCACAGAGCAGATTAACATTTATCCTTTTGTGGATGTCAGAATTTTTCCAGCTTTTGCACATAAAGAAATAAACAACTGCAAATCAAGTAATTACTTGTAGGCTTAGCTACTCCAGTGTTGCCAACATGACGCACTGTGCTATTCACCAGAGAGTCACAATATTTGACAGGGCTAATAGTCTGCTGGCTGGCACAGGCTGCACACTTTGAGGCAGACGCCAGCAAACCCAAGCCGGAACAAGTATTCACCAGCCTGCCAAGCAGGACGGTTGGCAATGGCTGCAAAAGCAGGCATGGAGCTGGTGGTTCCCTCTGGGCAGGAGAATGCCAGAATGTAGAAGGAGGATGAAGAGCAGAACACCAAACTTCAACATTAGTTCCCCCTCACTGAATTACTAAATATATAATACATCCCTAAAGGGCTAAATCTGACTTGGTCACGTCCAGAGGAGTGCCACAAAATTGTTGGATAGGATTTCAGCCCAAGAATCGATAAGCGGTTTTGTGAAAAAACATCCCCCTTCCCTGTAGTATTGCACAAACCCAGTCTTATCTTGATTAAGGACAATCCCTGTTATCGTGTTTCATCCCGTGATGTATTTATTACATCAATGCCAACCAAATCAGGAATTTTTAAAGGCACAGAAGAGATACATGATCTGTGCTATTTAAAAACATGCGTAAGTGCAAAAACCACCAGCCTTTCTAAGGTATTTAAATTAAAAGCTTTCAGAAAAGTGACTTCTGCCCTGTGAATTCTGCATTACTTGTAGCTTTTGGTGGGCACACAGTAATGAGCAGATTTTTAGAGGTATCTGGGAACTCAGTTCCCCTCTGAACAAATAAGCAAACAAAAAACTTCAGTAAGTCAGAGACAGATGGGAACCTGTACCTTAAAAATTTGGTCTCCAGAACTGCAATGAAGCTGCAGCTAATTGCAGAACCAAAAGCAAGTGGACATTATTGCAGTGCTTTGTCTGAGCTAAGGAGCACCATTTCTTAGCAAGGTCTGTTGTCTTGGCTCATCACTGTGCAACGATGGGCCACTTGGAGCCTATTAAATCCTTCAGATTACCTTTAAGTTCTAAGGTCCTTTCTCTTTCTTAGTACTTCCTTCCCTGTGACTCCCGGGCAGGGTTTGCCCCAATAATTGTTTTTAGCTTTGAGAGCAGCTCAGATGCATGTAAGCTACATAAATCAGCTTCTTTCTGTGAAAGGAGAGTGAACACCGACTCTCTGGAGAAGCTCTTTACAATTTGTTATCTCCAGAGCTCCCACTGACTGGTTCATTCTTTAGTACTTTACAAATAATAAATAAGAGGAAAGTCATTCCTGTCATAACATCAATTATTAGAGATAAAACTCTTTCATTTTTTTTAGTTTGGAATGTAGTTTTTCATCCTTAATATTGACTTCACTTTTTTCTTTTTTTTTTTTCCCATTTCATTTCATGTTGGCAGAAGGAAATCCTGAGAGATTGTAGATAGCATGCATCTTCTCAGCCAGGTTCAGGAGAGTATAGCAGCTGCCACTTGAACAATGGCTAGTTTTCAACTGTTCACATGGTATGAACTGTGTAATTCCCTGACTGAAGAGCTCCAGAACTCTTCAACAGTTAATTTTGTATCCCTAAATAAAAAAAAAAAAAAAAAGAGCCTTCATTATAAAGATATGTGTGCAGTTGGTGACACTAATCACAACTGAAGCACTTTTCACCTGGCTTCCCTTGAATATGGATTGACTTCTAAGGTATCAGCATTGCTAAACAAACCAGGATTTGGATTTAGACTTACAATTAATATTTTAGCTATACCAGAACTAATTTCTTGCAGAATCCACAGTGGATACATACATTTTACCTCTTCCTTCTCCCAGTTCCTACTTCATGCTCAGTGAGTTTTGCTCCAGTTTTAAAGCCAATCAGCTTTTGCCTGAAAGCAAGCATGACAAACATCAGGCACAAATTCCTTTGTGACAGTTGAAAATATTTGAGACAAAGTCCATTTCATTTCTAGTGTGTAATGTACAACATGTTTCTATAGAGGCATCTGCACAGTTGTCCTGCAATCCAGATGAGAAAACTGATAGAAAATGTTAAGATTTAAAAATGTTTTTTTAATGTGGTTATATAAAGAAGCAAATAAATACTAACATGCAAGCCTAAGTAGGAAGAATTGACCTAACAGTTGCCTGCAGAACATGTGTACTACAACTAGATTTTATTTGTATAATTTCCTGTGACACTGGAACTTCACAATGAGATCACATCTAAAAATAAGCATTTTTCATTTCCTTGACAGGACAAAACTTTAAATACAAATATTGACCCTTAAATATGTCACCAAGATTTTAGTGCAAAAACAAGAGGGGAAAAAAGGTCAGAAGTTCCCAAGGCATCATTAAATGGCTGCATAACAGGAAGGAACTATCTTGACAGCTCTATAGGTAACAGGCAAAGAACAAGGAGACTGTGATTTAGTCCCCACTCTTGGCTATTAAAAAGAAAAAGGTAACGCCAATGAGAGTGGCAGAATTCAAGAAATGGTGATGGAAGTGCAGTTTGCCCAGTCCGCAACATGCAGCTGAGTCTGTAACACTCAGTAATTCGCAGCTCAGTCTGTAACACTGCAGCCACTGCAGTGTCTGTCTCTTGGCCTCCCCTGAGACCTGAGATGCAAACAGCCTAACAGGTCTGACACTTGTTACTGAGTCAAGATTTGCTTCACGTGGTGTTTGCCACATATTTCCGCCTGGTCCAGTAGAGGACATGGAAAGCAGATCCCATTTGCTCTAGGTAACAGCATTCCTTGCACGTGGAGCTAGATTCTGCCTTGACAGCATAATCATCTTGACTAAATGCTTCAGCAAGAACTGAGCTTGCCCACCTTGGTCACTAAAAGACACACAAATGGCATCATTTGAGGGCACCTTGTGATCCTAACTGAAGTATAGAAGTTGGGTAGAAGTAAATAAGTAACAATTTATGAGCAGATGATACATGTTATGCAAATTAATCATGATTTAACTGATTCACACTTTATCTAAGCCAGAAACAAGCGCAGAAAATCAGTAGAGTGACTATTGCATGCCAGCTGTTCCATGACAACTTAATTATGTACGTTTCAGAGAAAAAACTTTCACCTAGAAATAAAAGAAAAATATAAAATTCCTCACCAAAATATTTTTTTTTTTAAATCCACTTTTCAAAATGTCATCTATAACAAATGCTCTAAAGAAATGGTTAAAAAGTTTGGGAATATTAATGTAGTATTGAAAATTTTTACCCATGCATGTGATATATAAAGACATTTGCCTCTCTTAATGTATCAATACACTACTCTAATAAAATCAGCAAAATAAACCACACTGCACACCTTTCCCTGTAATTCATAGTTTATTTTTCTAAGATAAGACTGGCAAATGTGCTCCATCTTTTCAGTGTTCATGCAGAACCAAATGAATCTGCTTATGGCACATATTTTTGTTTGTTTAAGATTTGGACAGAAGGGTAAAGCTATAAGGATTGAGAGAGTTGTCTACACTGGGAAAGAAGGCAAAAGTTCTCAAGGATGTCCAATTGCTAAATGGGTAAGTGATGTACACAAATTAATCCAGTTCAGTATGACGGTTCATGTAAGCTGACAGCAGTGACATGTCCTTCTGTGAGCTGACACCATGAAATTTAAAATAGCTCAATGGCAGCAGTACTACAGGGTGCCTGTAGCCTGCTCCCACCCATCTCTCACTCCATTTACTTGTTGCACGGTGAAGAGCTAGACTAAAATTTGGCTTAAAGGTATGAAAACCTAAGAAGAAAGGCACTTTTGCTTAGATTTAAGATTCACAACACCAGACATTTGCATTGCTGTTTAATTTTAGCTTACAAGTATGTCCAGTAAGTGCACAGAGTAATGTTTTTAAAATAGGGTATTTTAAAATACTCCCAGTTTGAGAGAGGTGTCAGGGCATCCTCTTGTCAAACACTGTTGTACTTTGGCACAAATTACTGAATGGTTTGGATTGGCTGGGGAAAGACGAGGAAAAACTGATACATTATTATAATCTTTATGCATGCCAGACTGCACCTTTTTTTTCAGAAATGCTCTTACTGCTTATGCTACTGGAAGGATCCTGTTTTATTTTAAAATCATCTACTGCTTTCCTCTCATCACTGTAATGTCTATACGTAGTAAGAGCGAGTCACAAAACAGTGAGGTTGATTACAAATTTAGCTGCTTAAGTTTGGAAGGGGAGAGAGCTTCCATGTCCAGTTCCTACCCTAAGAACAGGTGTCCACGATCCAGTTCTGTGTGGGGAGATACCTCACTGCTCACTTCCTTTTGCTCACCAATCAAACTGGGCCACAACCATAACGCAGATTCAGGAGAGTATTCCTGCTGAATCAGAGCACAGGGAATACCTTTACAAAGCTGTTTTCCACCACCATGGCTTTCCATGGCATCAGTCGACCTCTTAAGAGTCAGCTTCATTAAACAGAAAGGGTAGTCCTGGCCTACATCACGAAGTGCCAGAAACAAAGAGGAAGACAAAAGTAGAAGTAACCTCCACACACAGGCACTAATGCTGAGGTTTTCAATTCTCCTGCTCTACCCATTAAGAAATGCACTGTTTGTGTTGGGGCTCTGGGGTGTGTGTTGCTGTGCATGCAGGTAGTCCGCAGAAGCAGTCAGGAGGAAAAGCTGCTCTGCTTGGTGCGCGAGCGAGCAGGCCACACATGTGAGACGGCCGTGATTGTGATTCTCATCCTGGTCTGGGAGGGAATCCCAACAAGCCTGGCTGACAAGCTCTACTCCGAACTCACCGACACCCTGAGGAAGTACGGCACGCTCACGAACCGGCGGTGTGCCCTAAACGAAGAGTAAGTGGAGCAAAGGGGGTGCTCACCAAACTTGCAGCCCCATCGTCAGCCCCGGACCCAGCACCTCTGCTCATGCTATTACCCTGAAACATGTATAACCTTCTCAGCTATTTCAGGTGGTTTGGAAGCCCACAAACCTTGTAAGAAAAGCAAAATAAACATTCCTATAAATAGGAAAAAACATCTTCCCAGAGTTGTGAAGCATCTCAGCAGGGGCCAGGATAGCAGATACTTCAACCCTGAAATAAAAGCTAGATGCATTAAATCATACTGTAAGCCTAGAGAAGCCAGCCTAAGTCTAAGCAAATGGCACTGTATCGTTTTCCCATGCCTTTCTGACAGAGAACATTTAGACCAAAATTACCATAGCTGTCATTGTATGTTACTTTGACTTCATGGGTAGAGTCATATTTCAAAAATTATTGCTTAGCCCCTGCCAGAGGGCTCCCACATTCTTGCAGTGCTGTCAGCATAGGCCCCTCAGGTGCCATGAATATCAGTACCTAACAAGGCACCACACAAACATATCCTCTTCCGAGCAAAGCCGAGTTTCTCACAGAAGTGTACAAACCCCACAGACCCTGCTTTGTAACCATGAAATTATTCACTATGATAAATTTTTTCTGCTATAGTGCGTAAACCTCCCTTTTCCATTTCTTCATTTTTTACTGATGGAAGACGATCTGTACCCCTGATTCCCCGCAGAGCTGGCAGAACACCGATGCCCACTGCAGGAATGCTCCAGGGTGACCTATCTGCTGCTAACAGCTGTATTCTCTTCTAGACGGACTTGTGCATGTCAAGGGCTGGACCCTGAAACTTGTGGTGCTTCATTTTCCTTTGGTTGCTCCTGGAGCATGTACTACAATGGTTGTAAGTTTGCCAGAAGCAAGATTCCAAGAAAGTTTAAGCTGATGGGGGACGACCCAAAAGAGGTTGGTGTCTATTTCTAAAATGAGCCTCATTTGCAAGGAAATGTTTTCTGTCACTCTGTAAATAGAGATACAGTACAAGAGAGCAGGGGCCAGAGGCCTCCCTGGATGGTGTACAAGTAGGGTAATTAAATAACTGCCAGTCAAAAACGATTGATTTCAGTCACTGAGCCAGCTGAATTGACTGTCCAAATTCTGACAGCTGGTAAAAGCCCTGAGACATGAAACTATATTTGCAGGCTTTCACAGTTAGAGGAGAGGGCACGGCCTGAATAATTCTGGCTGTATTAGGCCTGCAATTGGGTGTTCCCCAGTGGCACCGTGGAAGGTTTACCAGCTAATGGCACATAACACTGCCACTGGGAACCAGAGCAGACTGGTTCAATGGAGACAAACATGATGAAACTCTGAGAGTACAATAGGAAGAAGAAGATGGGAAGACTCATTCTACATACAGTCCTGCCCCACTGAATGTTTCCAGACTGGACTCTGTTACAGCAAACTGGCACAGTTTAAAACGAGTCAGAGTAACAAACATTGACCTTAGCCTGGACACAATATATCTCTAAACTTATGACTGCAGCAACTCCTGGACACCTCCAGCAATTCATGTGAAGCTCCAGTGGCCCAGTCTGGTTTCTGGCAAACACAGGCAAATTTAGTCAGCACAAATAGGAGTCTCACCAATAAAAACTAGAAGTTACGTTAACAAATGGTAACCTACAGGCCATACAAAAGCTCCAAATTCCTGCAGCAGCCACAAGGTCACATATTTGACAATTTCATAATGTCATTTTAGACTCACTAACTGGGATATGGTCCCATGGTAGGAGCTACAAACTTTTAATGCACCAAACACGTGTCTCTGAAACCTGGTTTTTCACAGTTCTTCACACCCTCCTAAAATACAAACACTCCTAAAAACAAGTATATCACTCCAATATGCCACTGTTCTTTATGCACTTGAAATTAAAAATAAGGGCTTCGCGAAGTGAGGGTTTCAATTTGGGATTCTCATCCTGAGAGGATAGGGAAAAACTCTGGAGTATGTTATTAAATTTCTTTACTTTTAGAGAGTCTTATTTTGAGAGTGTACATCTTATAGAAAAAAAGAAGTGTGGTAATTCCTACCTCCATATCACCAATTACTAGACGCATCCATGATTCTTCATTGCTTAAGAACTGGGAAGTTTTTGAAGGCTGAAATATTACAATATTTTTAAATTGCTGCACATAAAGATATTTCAGGGTGTCAAAGTGCTGTCATTGCAATGTGCAAAACTCTTGAATTAGCCAGATTTACTTGATGGACCAATCTGATGTTATATCTCTCAAGCTTTATGAAGGGTATTATTTTCCCAAAACTCCAATACGGAAAATAATGAGTATTACCACAGTTAGATCTAAAACACCTTCATGATGAAGAATGTGATTCTTCTTAATATAGAACAAATTACGATTACAGTATATGATATCCTCTTGCAAAGATCCTACTACTCTGCTTTAAGTGCTTCATTCCTTTAAGGGCTGTGGAACAATAAAATTAAAACGAGATTCACAACAGTTACTGTCTAATCAAGAATGATAGTGGTCTAGGCCTTTGCACAAGCATCAGTGTAAACATAATTGTGTAAAGAGCCTAACTGCCTAGATCCCAGGCATACAGTATGGAAATGTCATGGAATTCTATTTCATCTCCTAACAGGAAGAAAAACTAGAATCCAATTTGCAGAATCTGTCAACCCTGATGGCACCTACCTACAAGAAGCTTGCACCCGATGCATATAACAACCAGGTATGATAGGGGAAAAAAGAAAATGGAGAAGTCATGGAAATAACCTGATTTTTACCACACTTCCTAGTGTTTCAGCCTTGCAACAAACCATTATGTATATTTTGTGCCAGCATTTCTTGTCATGAGGGAAAAGACAAATGGAAATGAACAATTCCACTTAAAATGCTTTCACAAGTAAAACTAGCAGAATTTGGTCCACTAAATAGAACTAATCATTTTGCTACATCAACACAGTAAAATTACTTCAGTCTTCAGCTCTAACACACGAATTTCTGGATTTAGCAGGAGTTACTACCTAAACTAGCAAAACTGCCATGAAGATGGTGTGAGATTGGCAACAGTGCCAGAAGGCAGCGTATCATACTGCACTCCAGTCCTGAAGCCACAGTTTAACTTCTGCTCTCTGAAGCAGCAGATGAATTTAGTTTTCACCAAAATAGCCATGATAAACATGCTTTTTATGAGAAGTTTTATATTTGAACACACTGAGCCCTGTGTATGCACACAAGTGCCTGTACCAGCCCTGTTGCATGAGGGGATTGTGTGCACGTATTTTCTGTGTCTCAACTGTTTGCAGACACAAGCACGTTCAGAGCCTTGATGATGTTACCAGTGTGGCTGTCTCATCTACATTTCATTACCAAACGTCTTTCAGATAGTTACATCAAAATTTGACAACATACCACTTGCAAACACATTACTGCTGGCCTTCGTTTTCTTTGCCCAGGTTCCCTACTATAATGAACATTCACAGAATTTACAGTTTCCAAACTATCAACATCTACTGCAACCTGTGACATCATCTTGCTTTCCTGTTAACAGCATTATGCTGTAGCAACCAGCACAAGACAGATTTTCAACTGTAACAGAAACAATAAACACAGAACTGTCCATTATTATCTACTGTAAAATTCACTCCTTTACTGCATATTTAGTAGCAGCTAGACAGGGTAAGCAGATTCAGTACAGACTTACCCAGCTTCACTTACCTGATCAGATAATATTTGAAGACTCACTATGGAGAAGACTATGGCTGTGTGCCCACTAGCTGTAGTTATCTGTCCAAATATCTGAGAGACATTCTGCAAGAGAAAAAAGGAAGAGGAAGAAGAAAAAATGAGGGGGTGGTGAACAATAAAATGGTTCTTTGCTTGGGCTGCTTTTCTTTTCCCACAAAAATTCACAAAAGAACTTTTCTCCAAGTAAGCTGTGGTCCTCCCCAACATTTGTTGAAAATACATGTTTTTACCAGCTTCAATTTTTACCTTATGTAATAAGGCATGTATATAGTTTGGCCTATTTCAGAAGTTTCCCACAGACCTTGTATTTGTGGGGAAACGGTCATCAAGCTATGGTCAGTGGCTTTAAAGAGAGATTATCAAGTTCTAATTTGTATGATATTGTAAAGGGTTCTAAAAACAAAAAGCCCTAAAACCAATCGCTCTTCAAATTCTGAAATTTCAAATTCTCGGATATATTCTAATCCAAATCTGGACCGCTTCTGGATTAAAGGGTTTGCTTTCCCAACTGGACCCAATAGAACATCTCAGAGAGCAGTTGCACCAGTATAGTATAATCAGACAATTATAGTCTGGCTAACATTTCAGACCACTCACTTTTAATTCCAAACAAGTTTACGCATTTCAAGTTTTGCTCTGCTTTTATTTTCAAATTCCAGGGAAGTAAATAATTCAAATTTAAAAATTAAATGTATTTTTAGTGATGTTGAATCAAGACTTGGCAAAACTTCTAATTTAACCTTAACTTAAAATGGGATCCATTAAGTTCCACTAAGTGTAGATGTTTTGTGTATTCACCTGAAAGGTTCAGGAATTTCAGCAAAGCATTTTACAAATGTGGTTTCATTTTTTAAATTTTCTAAATAAAATATGAAACTATCATTTTTCCAAGGCTTGATCTTCCATTAAAAAATCCTTTCTTTTTATGTTAGATTTATTGTTGCATTATGAATTCTTTATAAATCTCCTTAATAATGAGTGCATGGGTACAAAATACTGTCTGGACTGAATTCTCTCTTTTTTTAAGTCAGGGGTTAGAGCTGTACTTAAGCTAATGAAATACATGTTTAGCATGCCAAAATATTACAAATCAAAAAGCAAATTATTATTTTTCATGAAGTAATTCTGAAGTCAGTTTTCTACAGCCATTTTCCCTTAATAGCTTGGTATACTTCCAGTCTACACAAACATATCACTCTCACAGTGCCAGTCACGGAAACTGTGCACTGCATTTGTCATGTAAAAACACCAACCACTGGCAGAAAATCAAAAGTAATACATGAGGAAAAGTATTATTGGCTAATTTCACAATCATGCCAGAGAAGGTAACAGGGAACAAAGCAGTGAGGAATGAAGCATGGATACGAAATTGCCATCAAATTGCTTCATTTGATGTGCCTTCAAGATCTGTTTGTTGTCACCTCCAAGACGTTAGGGAGACCTGCACGTTGTCACAGCGGAGCATTCATTGCTAGTTGGGTGCTAATACTGGAGCATCCAGCTTGGCTGCAGTGAAACCTGTCCTGTCTCTCCAGATCGAGTACGAACACAGAGCACCCGAGTGTCGCCTGGGTTTAAAAGAAGGTCGCCCATTCTCAGGGGTCACTGCCTGCCTGGACTTCTGTGCTCATGCTCACAGAGACTTGCACAACATGCAGAACGGGAGCACACTGGTAAGTCTGTGACATGTAACAGCCTCCTTACTCCAGCACTCACCTCGTGTCTTCAATACGTTATCTCCCGCCTGTTTAAATTTACGCCTGCCTAATGCAGATTACTAAAAAACCCAGAAACATTAAGCAGTAACTGAGCTAGCTTATTATCCCCTACACAATTTTTCTTTCAACTGAGATACTGTATTAAAGAAAGGTTTAATACAGAACTGGTGAAAGAGGAACTTTGGAAAGAAGATCCCAACAGGGCTGAAATGCCTGTTTCTGTGTTGCTGGCAAAAATGGTTTATATTTGTCCCCTTGAAATACTTCTTTTCTAACAACTTTGGATTATATCTTCTAATAAAGTGGAAACAAACAACTTCTTTCCAAGAGAGTTTTAAAGTTTTGAATTTTATTCCTGCTTGGGATGAGCAGAAAGTCTGCAAGACTTGCCATCCTTTGCATTGTACATGCAGTCTTTACTCTCTTCAGTTCTGATTTCTAGCATGTACAGCAAAGGCTGTAGAAGATACCAGAAAAGCAAGCTGGTTTTCAATGTGTACTGGATTATTTCTGTTCCTTGCCTGCTATCTCTGTGACAATACAGTTGGGGCAAACATGAGAAAGAATACTCTTCAGTTTTGAATAATCATCATGGTTGTAGTTTGAAGCAACTACCTAGATTGACAGTGCAGCTCTTATTACAACCAAATAGAGCATCTGCCTCTTTAATTCCAACGAAATTTTTCCTGTTTCCAGAGTCTGACTTAATTATCAAGTTAATCACCACCAATACAATATACATTTCCAGCTGAGCTTTCCTCCTAAAACCAGCTGATGTAATGATTTTGCTGCAGAATATGTCCACCAGCACCTTTTTCCACCAAGATCCACCCAATACCTGTTTTAGCTGGAACTAACACAATGAGCTTGCTGCATGACACAACAGTAACTTTCTTAAATCTTATGATTAACATTACAGTAGTTGGCTCCTTTGCAAAGTCTTGGAAGCTACCACTGACTGGGAATGAAATACAGTGCCAGTATGTTATATTGCACGCTATCTCTAATAGGTAGCTACCTCATGTATTGTAGTGAAAAAATCTTCAGGTGAGTACAAAGTCCCAGGTCCCACTGCATTAGCTCTCTGGCCACAGCACAATGGATCACAGTTTATTTCACATTAGGGTAGTCCCTAACTATAATGTCCATTTCAGCACAAGTAAAAGAAATAGATACATATACCTTCTGTTTCTCTTAACACCATCCAACAGAGTAATGGAAGGAATGAAATTGCAGGCTTGTGATGTGCATAAATTGCACAGAAACTTGTAGTTTACAAATAGCGTGCCAGATGCCAATGCTGACAGTGGCAGGGCAAGGCAAAATGCAGAGACAGTGTTTCAGATCTCTAATGCACCCTTCCTACAGGTTTGCACACTAACTAGAGAAGACAATCGTGAAATTGGCCAAACACCAGAAGATGAGCAGCTCCACGTGCTCCCGTTATACAAAGTCTCTGATGTGGATGAGTTTGGAAGTGCTGAAGGCCAGGAGGAGAAGAAGAGGAACGGCAGCATCCAGGTCCTTACCTCCTTTCGCCGAAAAGTAAGGATGTTAGCAGAGCCCGTTAAGACCTGTCGGCAAAGGAAGCTGGAAGCAAAGAAAGCAGCTGCAGAAAAGCTTTCCTCCTTGGAGAATGGGTCTAGCAAAGCTGAAAGAGAGAAGTCTGCTGCAGCACGCAACAAGCAAGGCAACTCTGAAGTGGGAGGTCATGCAAAGCAGCTAGCAGGTAAACACGTGAATATGGTCAGGATCTTTATCAACAGCGGTAAGCTTCCTAGAAACCAGGGCCATTTGTAATCAATCTCAAGAAAACCATTATTCAGCCCAAGAACGTATTGAAGTAAAAAGGCAAGAGAATTCTTGAAAGTGAATATCAATAATGTATATTTATAAATACTAGAGTGCTGAATTTGGTACAACTCCGGAGAAGAAAAAAAAAATAAAGAAAAGTTGCAATGAGAAATCCTTTACTGTTGGATAGTTAACACCTGTAGAAATCTGGAAGCAAACTCTGCTTGTCATCCAGTGTATTGTAAAGTATCTTTAAAAGACTAGTAGTGCTAGAAGCCATGAAGAGAAGTGTGTGATGCTGCTGCCAAAGAAAGAATGACCTACACATCACTCGATGTCTGCCACTGTAACAGAGAACCTCCTAATTTGAGGGGATTCAAGCATAACCTCTTTACCAGTATTTATACTCTGCCTCAAGACCAAAAGCAAAACAGGTTTTCCGTAGTGGAGTAAGAGTTTAAAAATCCACTCAACAATCCCTGGCAGTTTTCATCAGTAGATTTGAGAGTCCTGAGCAAAGGGGTTCATCAGGACTAATTTATTGTTACAGCATTTTTCTCAGAGAGGAAAAAAGTGATACATCCAAGGCCACCCAGAAGGTCACTGAAATACCTATGAATAGAAGTCAGCTGTCCCATGACCCAGGATAGGGTTGTGACCATTAAACGATGGCATTGCACTTTAATGAATGATATTTTTGCTCTTACAACTTCAGTTAATCTCACCTATTACTGCACTGTTCTGTCTATCAGTGAATGTTTTTTTTTACATAAAGCTAGGGACATATTTTGAAGACAGTTCTATTCATATAGATGAGAAGAATTAGATATTCTTGGGGAAAAGGAAGTAATTTTGTGCATGGCTGTTTGGGAGCACTTTGATGCCCCCTTTCATGGACCACTTAAAGATGATTCAACTCTTTGGATTTTGTGCATGTGACTCTGAACAGATTGCACTGTCCTCTTTTCCCCATTGCCACTAACATCTGATCTCACTGGATATTTGCCAAAAGAAGAGTAGACTTAGTATTTATTTGGCTTTTTAATTAAAGGATTGTGTTTGAGGTCTGAGAAAGGGAGTCTCTGTTAATGCATCATATGATATACTTTTCTTAGATATTTCATAGATACATGTCATGAAAAGTCTTATAAAGTATGTAATTTGTTGGGTTGTTGTTTGGGGTTTTGGTGGGTTTTTTTCCTAAAGCTGTTTGTTGTGTGGTTGTTTGTTTTTTCCTTTTCACATCTACAGATCTTTTACGTCTTTCAGGACCAGCCACACAACAACAACAGCAACAGCAGCAGCAGCAACATCCACAGCGCACTCTCCCTAACAACTCTCAGTCTATTAATTCTTACTCGGGTTCAGGTTCTGCAAATCTCTATGTAAGGTTGTCTAATCCAGCCAATGCTTATCCAAATTCATCTTACACTTCAGATCCCTACGGAGGGTCCAGTCCCATGAACCTCTATACAACCTCATCACAGCCTGTGGGGTCTTATTTGAATTCTTCCAGTCCCATGAACCCTTATTCGGGATCATTAAGTCAAAATAACCAATATCCACCCTACCAATGCAATGGAAACATACCTATGGACAACTGCCCCTCTTACTTGGGCTCCTACCCTTCCCAGCATCAGCACATGGACTTCTATAGTTGCCAGAGCCAAGACTATATGTCTAAACTAAGTCTACCACCCATTCAAACATTATACCAGCACAGGTTTGGGAATAACCAGAGTTTTGGTCCCAAGTACTTGAATTATGGAAACCAAAATATGGAGGTAGACTCCTTCAGTAATTGCACCATTAGACCTAATGTACATCACATAGGGTCTTTTTCCTCTTACTCCACCCATGAGGCCAATGGTCATTTTATGGAGGTTGCCTCAAGGTTAAAATCTAATCTGAGTAACCCGAGCACGGATTATGCCTCCACAAGTAAAACAAGTGAACATCATCACGTGCAACCCCCTCCTCATTTACCACACGACTACCATTCTGCTCCAAGTATGTTTAGTGGTCCTCCTAATTCACTGCACCTCCAAAATAAGGATAATGAAATTATTTCACATGCAGTTAATGGTTTGTCTAACATGCTTCCCGGTCAAAACCATGACAGGACTACTCCCCAGGGTGGTTTAGATAAAACTGATGTGCTGAATCCAGAAAAAACAGAGGATCCTGATGAAGTCTGGTCAGATAGTGAGCAGAACTTTCTGGATCCAGAAATTGGAGGAGTGGCAGTTGCTCCATCTCATGGGTCAATTCTCATAGAGTGTGCAAAACGTGAGCTCCACGCAACAACTCCCTTAAAAAACCCCAACAGGAACCATCCCACCAGAATATCCCTTGTCTTTTACCAGCACAAGAGCATGAATGAGCCAAAACACGGTCTGGCTCTGTGGGAGGCAAAGATGGCTGAGAAGGCAAGAGAGAAGGAAGAGGAATGTGAGAAGTACGGTCCAGACTATGTGCCTCAGAAATCTTATGGCAAAAAAGCGAAGCGGGAGCCTGCGGAGCCACACGAACCCTCTGAGCCAACGTACATGCGCTTCATCAAGTCTCTTGCACAAAGGACACTGTCGGTCACCACAGACTCCACAGTAACTACATCTCCATATGCCTTTACACGGGTTACAGGGCCTTACAACCGATATATCTGACTTCACACCTTTGCTGGTTACCTCATTCAAAAAAACACCTTGTCAGTAGGGTAGTAGTTCTTTAGGTTTTGGGGAAGGCAAGGGTGGAGAAGAAAACAGTGTTTTTATGGAACTCATCGGTGGAAAAAGCCTCACCACACCAGCAAAAAGAGGTAATCTCACTAGCGCACTTATTTTCCACTGATTTTTAAGTGGTCACAGATGGCATGTAGGAAACAAGACCAAAGCATCCTATGCAAAAAAACAAACAAAAAAAAAAAAACAAATGACAAAAAAGTGATTCACAATTTACATTTGAAAACACTGGCTCCATTACTGAAAGGAAAATCTGCAAATGGATTTTTTTTTTCTTACAGTTTTGCACATCTGTGGCCACTTTTAATGTCATCAAGTTTGCATAGTCGTGAAACAGGAGCAAAAAAAAAAACCCTAAAAAAAATACTGTAGTATTACAACTGCAGGAATCTTAAAATAACATCTGGTGCTGAATCTATGATGTACTGAAATACTGGAATTATGGCTTTTTAACATGCAGTTTTTACTGTAATCTTATTAGTCTTTTGATTTTATTTAACAAAGTAGATAAGTATAAAACATAACTAATAGACAGCAAAACACTGAATTTGTTCGAATATTCTAAAACCATGGTGCTATCTAAGAGAATGGTGTCTTTATTTTATCAGTCGAACAGTTAATGCCTTTTAACAAAATGTCAATGATGTAGTCAAATGTTCTTCAGCAACAGGGAGGACCTTTTTCATTCATGTATGTATTGAATTTACCTGGTGTTAAAATAAGCTTACTTTTTAACATATGGGAATTACAAAGACCTCTGGATTTTGCTCATCCAGTCAAGTCCTAGAAAAGGACATTAAAATATAGAGAGAGATATTTTTTTTTAAATAGTGTTTCAAAAGCACTTTGTCTACCTAAGCTTGGCAACTTGAACAATGCTAAGGTACTAAGACATTAAAAAAAAAAAGAGTTTACTTTGATTTTAAAATGCAAAGATAATTTTTTTAAAAAAAAAGCTTTTAAATACTTTTGGTTTAGCCATGCATCTGCTAGTGGGCTACATATCCATTTTTAATACAGTCAGTTATGATAAAAATGGGGCTTACTGGATATAAGGGAATACTTTAGTACACAAAACACATCTTTTTCTGGTGCTCATCTCACACAGCTATACTGTAAACTGTTTTCTACAATTATTATGACAAGTTCATTGCTCAAATATGTACAGTTTTAGGGAAAGAATTTTATATTAACCACAGGTAATAATTAGCAGCATGCAACAAACTACAACTAGTTAGCTTGGGCTTCTGCTGTTTTTAGAGATCTGTACGCTCCCCAAATACCGAATGGCAGATTGCTTTTGTGTTGATAATTATGTACATTGTGGTGCAAGTCATTTCTCGGTGCAAGTGTCCTCTTTTCCAGGAAGATTGAGCAGACCGATGCCTACACAAGATGAATGAAACAGGGTTAGTTCTGCGTGATTCCGTTGATTAAATAGAAAAAAAATAGGCAGCTGGCTTGCTGTGGTGGTTTTAAATCATTAATTTCTATTAAAAAAAAAAGCAGGAGAGTTGTATAGTAAATTAAATTGTAAACAAAACTTTTTTTAACGCAATGCTTTAGTATTTTAGTACTGTAAAAATATTAAATCTATATATATTTGGGTTTTGAGCTGAATTCACATCATGGTGCTACTCAGCCTGCTACAAATATATCATAATGTGAGCTAAAAATACATTAAAAGGTTTGAGTGATGTTCCTACTTGTCATATACCTCAACACTAGTTTGGCAATAGGATATTGAACTGAGTGTGAAAGTTTATATATTGTATACCATCTTTTTCCCCCAATAGCCTTTGAAAAAACAAACAAACAAAAAACTAAACAAAAAAACTCTCAATACTTGACATTTTAGCAAGTATAACTTGAATTTCAACTTTTTTTTTTTACTTTTTTTTTGGTTCTAAAAATTCAGGGATATTTCAGCTCATGTTCTCCTATGCCAACGTGTCACCTGTGTGTATGTAAAGCTGTTGTAGGTTAAATATATTATTCTTGGGTTTTTTGTTTTGTTTTGTTCTTTTTTTCAGGGATTTAATGTTTTTCTTTTGAATCCCTTCTCTTATTTTTCTTGTACATGTATTGTGTAACTAAAACTAATTTTGTAAATTCGTTAGCTCTTTTTTTTGTAATGGAAGTGTTTAAGAGATTTAGAATGTTTTGACTGTTTCAAATGAATAAACAAAAAGAAAGTAGAATGCACTGAGCTGATTAAAGGGAAAAATGTAAGGCAGGGGTTTGGCAAGTGACTGTTTGCTAGAGTTGTTCAAGTCACTCTCTAAACAAGGCTTCTTAGATACTGTAATAAATAAAATAAAATATAAAAAGGTACAGTCTGTACAAGGGCTTCCCTAAACATGCAAACCTCCATGTCCCAGATATATCTTGTGCAATATACTGTAAGATAAAGTTTGGTCGAAAGAAATTCTAACTAAAAGAATCACAACCTAACTCAAGTAAATCAAAGGAGGCCTTTGGGTTTAATGGTCAAATATTTATTATGGCAATTTTGGTTTTTAATTCTCACTCTGTGACTCTACCCACTGCATTGAAACAAAAGTTTCGCCTTTTTTTAAAAAAAATAACAATGATTATATGTCAGATTAATTAAATCATTATATATCGTCATTTTTTGGTGATTTTTTTAAAGTCCTATATACTTCACGTAATCCATAGTAGATGTTTGGTTAATATGCCGTGCACCGTCATTTGCCAAACTGCTGGCAGCAGGAGCAGGAAGCTTGATTGGTGAATCGGTTTTGTATTGTACATAGGTGAGCTGTAATTTGTGGTGTACAGAACCCTGCCTCAGTTGGAACGAATGACAAAGCAGACAGAGTTGCTTGTATAGGATTATCAGGTTGACTATAGCCATACTTGAAGATGCTTCTGAGTGGTGTCAACTTTACTTGAATGAATTTTTCATCTTGATTGACGCACAGCGGTATAAAGTTCACTTCTAAAGCTAGTGGTTAACTTGGGTAGGAAACTTTAGCAGTTTGACACTAAGGTAATGAACTTCTGTGTGCATTTTCTATGCTTATGTTCTACTTTTTTTATTTTTACTTTAGTTTCATTCATTTTCATGAGATGTTTGGTATGTCTATAAAAAGAATCTGAGGATGGTTATAAATACTGTAAGTATTGTAATGTAATGCAGGTTATTTGAAAGCTGTTTATTATTATATCATTCCTGATAACGCTGAGATGTGGGTGTTTTTAATAAAATTTATATTTATTTAATGCACTCTAAGTCTGTCTTGCAGAAACTTGTCTTTCCTTGTCATTTTTATCAGCTAACAAGAAAGCAGGCCCACCCCCCCATCAGTTCCTCCCACCTCCATCTCCCTCATCTCAATCATCACAGTCAAACAAAATGCATCACTCAGGACTCCAAAACAGGCAGTCTAGGCATCACATTTATTCCTGGTTCTGCTTTGACTCTAACAGGTTGGGATGCAGGCTACCTAGCCCAGGCTACTGCTCCTTAAAATCTGTGTTTACAGTGAAGGAGGGAGGTATTTTTGTGAGTAGGAAGAGGGAGTAGAGTGTCACTACTGGTTTTCTATTGGTGTTTGCGTACACAAATGAATATGGCATATTTGCTGTTGAATTGCCCCGCTGCTCAAGTAACAGCCACAAATACACACTTGGCAGAGCCAGGACAAAGGGGAGACTCTAGGGATTCACTGGTTGGTTTGGGGTATTTATCTCTACCCGGTTATGCATTTTTCTGCTTGATTTCAAACTACTCCCAAATGGCGGGATGCTCCAACAAATAGAACTAGGGAAGGGTTAGATTGGATATTAGGAAAAATTTCTTCACCAGAAGAGTTGTTAAGCGTTGGAAGAGGCTGCCCAGGGAAGTGTTTGAGTCACCATCCATGGAGGTATTCAAAAGACATGTAGATGTGGCACTTGGGGACATTGTTTAGTGGTGGACTTGGCAGTGCAGGTTTACAGTTGGACTTATTGACCTTAAGAGTCTTTTCCAACCTGAGTTATTCTGTTATTAAGAAAAAACACAAAATTATAAAAGCCTAAAACCTCAGGTATAATTTAAATCACACATAAGCTAAAGGAAAGCAGAAGCAATAAGAAAGTGTGTCTGAATTAATACCAGGACATACATTCTTGCAGGCATCAGACAAAAGCTTGTTTTCATGGTCCCATTGTTTAGCTCCAAGGAATATCAGGACTGAATACTGAAATATCCTATTCTGTGGGAATAGAGAGAAATGTAGCAAAATGTTTCTGCGACAATTGGTACTTAAAAGCTTCTAAAGCTTTCTTTTTTAAGAGCCCGAGTTTGTTGTCAGCCCCTGTTACCCCATCCATCAATGCCACGCACCTTGGGAAAAGCCCCCCTGCTATGCACATTCATGTGCTAAGTGTCTTGGGGACACGGGGATTTAAAACTCAGCGATCTGTAATGTTCACCCCTGGCTCTCAGCATATTCCCAGATGGAAATGTCTTGAGGCAGGCGAGCACACTGCAGCAGCCAAGTGTTGCTTTTTTCTGAGCACAGGTGCACTTTCATGCATTAGACAGCTGGAACCGACAGATGCACAAGCTTTAACAGAGGTCTCACACCCCTTTAGCCTTCCCTGGAAAAGAATCCTGCCATTAATGAACATTCCAATCGGCTGCCTTTCAACATAATTTCCGCAGTGCACTTCGACAGATCTCATTTCAGAGGTGCTGCTGACACAGGCACCACACGCTCACGGCCAAGACCACTGAGGAGTCAAACGTGCCCACTGTGCTCCTCCCACGAGCAGGGGCTCTCCCGAGACAGGGGCAGTTCGCTCGTGTGCCGCCGGTGGCCGTGACCAAGGCACCGCCTACAGTCACTACCCGAACCACCGCACGTCAGTAACAGCTGGGAATGCCCGGCCGAGCCTTCAGGCAGCTTCTGCCTCACCTTCGCTCCTCACTTCCCAGTCTGTTCTGTCATTTTCTGCCTTTTGTCATCTCACAAAGGACAATGCAGGTTTTTTTTATGGGAATAACTGACAAGCCTGTGGTGACAAGCCAAACCAGGGTGAACAAACCCCAAGAACAACAGGTGATGATACTCAGAGATACAGTAAAGCATCCAACACGGAAGAGGGAGCAAAGGAAAAACAAACAGATTTCTCTTGAAGCAGCAAAGCACCTTACAGAAGAAGGTGGAGATTGACTAGTGGGTAACGGTGGTTTCTTCATATGTACACTTTCAATACACTTTCAAGTTGGAAATATTTAAAAACCAAATCTTTTCATTCAAGTAAAACTCAGAGCAGAGGAACAAAACCTTGGATTTAAACATGAACCCTGTGGTTTACACCTTGCTGCAAAACAGATTCTAGGAACACACACTCTTGCCCGGAGGCTGTTCTCAAGAGCACGGCCCTCCAGCCAGAGCTCTCCTGACACCTACACTTGCATGACAAGTGTCACACCAAACTTGTAAAAGCTGATGATAGTCCAGTAGCACAGATACTAGAACTGGCACGTATCAGCATCTCAGCAGTAAATTAATACTCTGCTATGTAACTGACACAGTAACTTCTTTTTTTTCCTGAAAAACATGCATCTGTCAAGTTTCTGTTACACTCAAGTGTGTTTACCTCATGCAGACACAATTGCTAATTTTGAGGCACTCAGGAAACGCCCAATTTGTCTCAGAGGACTGGCAGTTTCACCCCCACCACCCCATGAGCTACAATTAACAGCTCTCCCCTCTCCCTTCATCACTCTCTGAGACATTCTGCTATGTTTATGCATTAAGTGGGTCCCTTTAGTTTGACCTGTAAATGATTCCCTAAGTTAGTTTAATTAGTGCAAATGTTGTGCTAGGAGAGATTCTTGCAGACCTTAAGAGGTAAGTCAGTCAGCTCTATGTTTTATTTGCCCCACCTCTAACCAGCGAAGGGAATATCTGACACGCATGAAGTGAACACAGAAAGTGTCGTTGATTTAAAAAAAGCTTGTTTTTAGGGGGAAGGAAAACCTTGCACTGGGGTACGAATGTGAGAAAGAAGGGAAAGGTCTGTTAAAGATCTACTGCTGTCCTTTCCGCTCTTTCTGATCAACAGAGAACACTAAAGGCTGAAGTTACACACTTGACTTGCACGTTGCAACATGAGGCACTTGAGCCCCAGGTGAACACCACGCTCACTGCAGCCCCCCTGCAGCAGAGCAGGGGCTGGTGGCCCCATCCACACAGGGGAACACAAAGGAGGGAGCCCCAGATACCAGGCCATGGGGAAGGGAATTACATACTTCCTACAGCATGGTGTAAAAACATCCCTGAAGTGTTTCTGTTGAGAAATCTCCTCCTTCCTTCCAAGCTTGGAGCCTGCACCTGTTTCTTTCAGATGCAGGAGCAAGGCACCATTCTTTCTCCCCCACACCATTTTGCCATTAGTTCCGATGTTTGGAGTACTCAAACCCTTGGCATTCAGGTCCTCCATGCCTGAACAGATTCAGAGCATCATCTTCCAGGATGTAAAAGGCTTAAAGTACTCTGGGGTACACACAGGCACATCACATCACCCAATCCTTTTCATGCCACATAAAGAAGAACTTCCCATCATTATATGAAGGAGTGGGGGAAGGAAGAGCCTGCTACTCCACTTCCTTTTAAGATGGGGTTTATTTCTCAGTGTTAAGACCAGTGCCATCCTCTTGAGTCATAACCCCAGCAGAACCAGAGCTCTTACTGCTGAAGGTGGCCATGGGAGGGTTTTCAGGTTTTTTTTCTTTTACAACCCAGCCAAGCTAATCTAGGTTAACCTGTTTCTTCTACTCAAGGTTTGCTTCAACTAACACATCAAGTACTTTGTCTTCATAGTATTTTACACAAGGAAAACCATCCCGGGGTAAGTACACTTCCTTAAAATGTCATGGCAACACAGCTGTACACTCCTAAATCATGGCAGAAAAACCAGCCCAGTGACTGGCAAGAACAGCTTGGGATTGTTCAGCTTCCTTTTAGTTTCCACTGCATTAGCTACTGGAACTTCATTTGGATTTTCAGGCATAATCATCTTCCTCTTATTTTTCTGCTCCTGTTGTGATTATTTGTAAAAATGACAGCACCATTATCGTCTTGTATGTAAGCCTTCATACAGACCACTTTGGTAAAGACATTTAACTGGAGGGGATGGCTTAAAGTGCAGTTTGCTCTGAAAAGGAATGGGGAAAGAGGCATCCTGGGGCTCCCAGTCTGCATTTCAATTATTGTTGTAGGCTGTCTAGGCTAATGTGCCTGATTTGGAAAGCGGGGGGAGGTGGGGGTGAGGGAGGAGTGGCATTTCCCTCCATCTATCCCTCCCCAAACAGATGCAACAGATCTCCTCTGACTAGCCCTTCTCCCCACCTGTGTAGTCCTGGCTCTGTTGATATTTGTACAGGCATAAAGCTGGTCAGATGGCAGGAATCCAGTTCTAATTAATGGGAGCAAATGGTTTGCTATAAACAGAGGAAGGGTTGGCATGGGGGGAGGTGACAGATGTCAAGCAAGGGGAAAACATCTATTAGCTGTTCCCTCCTCCACCACCCCCCGGGGTACATTTGCTTTGCATGACAGTCCTTCAGTTCAGGCTCTGGTTTAAAATATCCAGACTCCACATATTGGATCTGTATTTGAACCTTTGCAGCATCCACGCAGCCTTCCTAAGGCAGGACAGGATACTGGAAGGGACCATATAAGGCAGAATTTTAAAACCTCGGGCTTGCCTGCTCTTCAAGGAATTATACACTCTTATAATAGGTAACCCTGGCAAATCTCCCCTTCTGTCTCTCTGCTGTTAACACTCTCCATACCAGAAACAAACAGGCGTTTTGTCAGAGGGCTGCAGTTTGCAGGCATTTATTCTCCCAGCTCTGAAGATGAAAATGATTGCTCATTTGCACCACAGCATTCCAACATCTCTGGCGCAAGATGCAACCAAGAGCAGCCTGTTTCCACCTTGACCCAGCTCCTGTAGCACCCTTAGGCAAGCTGCAGAAACTCCTCAGCTGAGCTGCTCCAGTGAAGACAGGGACTAAGTCCATGGCACAGCGCACGTGCCTCGCACAGGACATTCTGGGCTCGCCTTGTCTAAAATGCCAGGCAATAAATACTAGCACAGAGGAAACTCATCTGTACCAGGCCAATGACACTGTGAGGAGATGCCAGGGAATACCAGCCAAACCAAAGCACTAAAAGGAGGAGAAGGGAGTCTGACAGTTCCTGGACCACTCAAATTGCCAGGCACAA